CATGTCATCCAACTGGTTCAGAGCCCAACTCAAGTCTGTACTGCTGCTTTGTAAACTGTCTCCCCATCTCTACACAGCCCACTCCTTCCGGATAGGCGCCGCCACGCGCGCCGCGTCCCTTGGGCTCCCCCATTCCGCCCTCCAGCAGCTGGGCCGCTGGTCATCATCGGCCCTCTCCTCATACATCAGGCCTGACACTTCTACCATCCCGGCAGCCCAGCGGCTTTTGGCATCTCCATAAAACGCTCGCTAAACTTCTGGTGGCGGCTGCAGCTGAGTATCCGCAAGTTTGGTCACAGTAGATAGCGGTCACAGTATATAGCGATAGCGGTCACAGTATATAGCGATAGCGGTCACAGTATATAGCGATAGCGGTCACAGTATATAGCGATAGCGGTCACAGTATATAGCGATAGCGGTCACAGTATATAGCGATAGCGGTCACAGTATATAGCGATAGCGGTCACAGTATATAGCGATAGCGGTCACAGTATATAGCGATAGCGGTCACAGTATATAGCGATAGCGGTCACAGTATATAGCGATAGCGGTCACAGTATATAGCGATAGCGGTCACAGTATATAGCGATAGCGGTCACAGTATATAGCGATAGCGGTCTCAGCATAGAGTAGCCCTGACGTCTGTCCCCTCCAAACCAGGCTGCAAAAACTCCATCAACACACAGCCTTTTTGGGGATTGGCACGCTCCATCGCAGAGCCCCTCCGATCTGAAGGCCGCACCGGGGCCTAGGGCGCCAAACCTCCTCCCAATAAAATACTCAAAAGCTCTTGTTTCTCGTCTCTCCAAATTGAAATGCAGCCAGCGAAAATTCAATTTGGTAGACGTCAGCCAAAGTTACCCCCTCCAGGCCGGTTCTCATCCCCAGCCTATCGCACGGCAAACGCCCCCTTCCAATCACCGGTCCGGCCAGGCAAGCCGCTTAAAAGCGGAGAAACTCCCACTCTCGGCCTTCTCAAAGCCTGCAACCACCGCCTCCCCTCCTCCTCCTCTTCACCCTGCCTTCAATCTGCCTTCAATCTGCTTCCCGCTGCCAAATGCCGCCACCAGTGCCTAGGTCCCGGGGGATTGGCACGCTCCATCGCAGAGCCCCTCCGATCTGAAGGCCGCACCGGGGCCTAGGGCGCCAAACCTCCTCCCAATAAAATACTCAAAAGCTCTTGTTTCTCGTCTCTCCAAATTGAATTGGTTTTATATGGCTTTTATGATGTTGACTGCTCCGTAATATGGAAAATAACGTAACACCAAATATCTTGTAACAAAAACAACTAGAACTGAAGTTTTGCCCTTATAAAAACCACATCTGGAGTTGTTCATAGCCTTATACAGTCACATTACCTTTCGACTTCCATCCCTGAGCTGCGACTCTCTATCTCTAGCTGTTGGCGGGGGAGGGGTTTGCAGTTTCGCCTCTCAGCAAGAAGGTCCTGGTTTTAAATCCCGGTCAGAACAGAGAGTTTGCTCTGCTCTAGTTTCTCCTACCACTGAAAACATGTACAAAAGGTAAAATCCTCCAGCTCTGGTCCTGAAGAACATCTACATCTGTAGCTGGGTCCAGGGCATTGACTATGGATGCAAACCCGCCAGACCAATGAAATCAGAAATCGCTCTGGCTCCTATTTCCTCACATGTAAAAGTAAACTGTAGCTCACCACTTGGAGCTTAATTCCCTGGTTTAGTGCTCTCTGTGATCCTGGTGTTTGTATTTTCATGTTGTCTTTGTAAATCCAGATACGAGGTGTAAAAGGATGGACCAATCAGATGCCTTCATTCCATTTAAAACTCCGACTTACCTTAGCAACATATCTGCCCCTGTTACAGCCCGCAATAAATGCCCATATAAGAACGCTCCAGCTAGCTTATGTTCAAATCGGCTTCGTCCGCATGAACGCCAACACTATGGTGATGTCACACTCGATCAGTCCACTCCTCATATACGCTATGGTTGTAACATGGTTAAACGTTTGGGTTTTAAAATGTTTCCTCAAGATATAGCTACTAGTCTGGACAAGAATGTTCAGTTCTTCAGATAATAATGTTTAGCTGTAATACAGATATAACAGAGATCTAAGGTCAAAAACATGCAGGTCATATTCCACAATACTTGTTTTACCAGATATTTTCTTTCACATTTCACATTCTAAAAGATTAAATGACAAAGCAAATAGTCTCAATATCCATGTTAATGTTACAGTATAACTAATGTTTGTGTTTCTAACTGGCTCATATTTGTACAGTGCGCCTCAGCGGTAAGCTCCTCTGGGGTTAGAGCTGGCTGCACTTAAGTGTCTCCCGCTCTCTCTCACTCTGAAGTCAAGTGTTACTGAACACAAACGCTGGCGGGAGTGTAGCAGGTACAGCCGAGCGAGAGAGCCCCACAATCCAAAACACATGGAGAGGAGCGAGGGAGAACAGAGGAGTGAGGAGTGAGGAAGAGCAGAGAGAGAGAGAGCAGAGACAGCAGAGAGAGAGAGAGCAGAGAGAGAGAGCAGAGAGAGCAGAGAGCAGAGAGAGAGAGAGCAGAGAGAGCAGAGAGAGAGAGCAGAGAGAGAGAGCAGAGAGAGAGAGAGCAGAGAGAGAGCAGAGAGAGAGAGAGAGAGAGATCAGAGAGAGAGAGAGCAGAGAGAGAGAGCAGAGAGAGAGAGCAGAGAGAGAGAGAGCAGAGAGAGAGAGAGCAGAGAGAGAGAGCAGAGAGAGAGAGAGCAGAGAGAGAGAGAGAGCAGAGAGAGAGAGAGCAGAGAGAGAGAGAGCAGAGAGAGAGAGAGCAGAGAGAGAGAGAGCAGAGAGCAGAGCAGAGAGAGAGAGAGCAGAGAGAGAGAGAGAGAGAGAGAGAGAGAGAGAGAGAGCAGAGAGAGAGAGCAGAGAGAGAGAGAGCAGAGAGAGCAGAGAGAGAGAGAGAGAGAGAGAGAGCAGAGAGAGAGAGAGAGAGAGAGCAGAGAGAGAGAGAGAGAGAGAGAGCAGAGAGAGAGAGCAGAGAGAGAGAGAGCAGAGAGAGAGAGAGAGAGAGAGCAGAGAGAGAGAGCAGAGAGAGAGAGAGAGAGAGAGAGAGAGAGAGCAGAGAGAGAGCAGAGGGAGAGAGCAGAGAGAGAGAGAGAGAGACAGAGAGAGAGGGAGAGAGAGCAGAGAGAGAGAGAGAGAGAGCGAGAGAGAGAGAGAGAGAGAGCAGAGAGAGAGAGAGAGAGAGCAGAGAGAGAGAGAGCAGAGAGAGAGAGAGCAGAGAGAGAGAGCAGAGAGAGAGAGAGAGCAGAGAGAGAGAGAGCAGAGAGAGAGAGCAGAGAGAGAGAGAGAGAGAAGAGAAAGAGCAGAGAGAGAGAGAGAGAGAGAGCAGAGCAGAGAGAGAGAGAGAGAGAGAGCAGAGAAAGAGCAGAGAGAGAGAGAGAGAGCAGAGAGAGAGAGAGAGAGAACAGAGAGAGAGAGAGAGAGCAGAGAGAGAGAACGCAGAGAGAGAGAGAGAGCAGAGAGAGAGAGAGCAGAGAGAGAGAGAGAGAGCAGAGAGAGAGAGAGCAGAGAGAGAGAGAGAGCAGAGAGAGAGAGAGCAGAGAGAGAGAGAGAGAGAGCAGAGAGAGAGAGAGAGAGCAGAGAGAGAGAGAGAGAGCAGAGAGAGAGAGAGCAAGAGAGAGAGAGAGAGAGCAGAGAGAGAGAGAGAGATCAGAGAGAGAGAGAGCAGAGAGAGAGAGAGAGAGAGAGCAGAGAGAGAGCAGAGAGAGAGAGAGAGAGCAGAGAGAGAGAGCAGAGAGAGAGAGAGCAGAGAGAGAGAGAGAGAGAGAGCAGAGAGAGAGAGAGAGAGAGAGCAGAGAGAGAGAGAGAGAGAGAGAGAGAGAGAGAGAGAGAGAGAGAGCAGAGAGAGAGAGAGAGAGAGCAGAGAGAGAGAGAGCCAGAGAGAGAAGAGAGAGCAGAGAGAGAGAGAGCAGAGAGAGAGAGAGAGAGCAGAGAGATGAGAGAGAGAGAGCAGAGAGAGAGAGAGCAGAGAGAGAGAGCAAGAGAGAGAGAGAGAGAGAGAGAGAGAGAGCAGAGAGAGAGAGCAGAGAGAGGAGGAGAGAGAGAGAGAAAGAGCAGAGAGAGAGAGAGAGAGAGAGCAGAGAGAGAGAGAGAGAGAGAGAGAGCAGAGAAAGAGCAGAGAGAGAGAGAGAGAGCAGAGAGAGAGAGAGAGAGAACAGAGAGAGAGAGAGAGAGCAGAGAGAGAGAACGCAGAGAGAGAGAGAGCAGGCAGAGAGAGAGAGCCAGCAGAGAGAGAGAGAGAGAGCAGAGAGAGAGAGAGCAGAGAGAGAGAGAGAGCAGAGAGAGAGAGAGCAGAGAGAGAGAGAGAGAGAGAGCAGAGAGAGAGAGAGAGAGCAGAGAGAGAGAGAGAGAGCAGAGAGAGAGAGAGCAGAGAGAGAGAGAGAGAGAGAGCAGAGAGAGAGAGAGAGATCAGAGAGAGAGAGAGCAGAGAGAGAGAGAGAGAGAGAGCAGAGAGAGAGCAGAGAGAGAGAGAGAGAGCAGAGAGAGAGAGCAGAGAGAGAGAGAGAGCAGAGAGAGAGAGAGAGAGAGAGAGCAGAGAGAGAGAGAGAGAGAGAGCAGAGAGAGAGAGAGAGAGAGAGAGAGAGAGAGAGAGAGAGAGAGAGCAGAGAGAGAGAGAGAGAGAGAGCAGAGAGAGAGAGAGCAGAGAGAGAGAGAGAGCAGAGAGAGAGAGAGCAGAGAGAGAGAGAGAGAGAGAGAGAGAGAGAGAGAGAGAGAGAGAGAGAGCAGAGAGAGAGAGAGAGAGAGAGAGAGAGAGAGAGAGAGAGAGAGAGAGAGAGAGAGAGAGAGAGAGAGAGAGAGAGAGAGAGAGAGAGAGAGAGAGAGAGAGAGAAGAGAGAGAGAGAGAGAGAGAGAGAGAGAGACAAACAATGTTTATAATTATCATGATAATTGCATGAATGTCATCGTTAACTCGCGATTATTTTCACATTTTAGTCTATATTGAAACGTCCTATTGAAAACAGGTCGTTTTATATTTCACACTCACTTCTGGTGCAAAATGTCATAGAATAAAGAAGCAGTAGAATTTGCATCAGGCGTGTGTTTAGCATCAGGCGTGTGTTTAGCATCAGGCGTGTGCTTGGCATCAGGCGTGTGTTTGGCATCAGGCGTGTGCTTGGCATCAGGCGTGTGTTTGGCATCAGGCGTGTGTTTGGCATCAGGCGTGTGTTTGGCATCAGGCGTGTGTTTGGCATCAGGCGTGTGTTTGGCATCAGGCGTGTGTTTGGCATCAGGCGTGTGTTTAGCATCAGGCGTGTGTTTGGCATCAGGCATGTGTTTGGCATCAGGCGTGTGTTTGGCATCAGGCGTGTGTTTGGCATCAGGCGTGTGTTTGGCATCAGGCGTGTGTTTGGCATCAGGCGTGTGTTTAGCATCAGGCGTGTGTTTGGCATCAGGCGTGTGTTTGGCATCAGGCGTGTGTTTGGCATCAGGCGTGTGTTTGGCATCAGGCTTGTGTTTGGCATCAGGCGTGTGTTTGGCATCAGGCGTGTGTTTGGCATCAGGCGTGTGTTTGGCATCAGGCGTGTGTTTGGCATCAGGCGTGTGTTTAGCATCAGGCGTGTCTTTGGCATCAGGCGTGTGTTTGGCATCAGGCGTGTGTTTGGCATCAGGCGTGTGTTTTAGCATCAGGCGTGTGTTTGGCATCAGGCGTCTGTTTGGCATCAGGCGTGTGTTTAGCATCAGGCGTGTGTTTGGCATCAGGCGTGTGTTTGGCATCAGGCGTGTGTTTAGCATCAGGCGTGTGTTTGGCATCAGGCGTGTGTTTGGCATCAGGCGTGTGTTTGGCATCAGACGTGTGTTTGGCATCAAGCGTGTGTTTGGCATCAGGCGTGTGTTTGGCATCAGGCGTGTGTTTGGCATCAGGCGTGTGTTTAGCATCAGGCGTGTGTTTAGCATCAGGCGTGTGTTTGGCATAAGGCGTGTCTTTGGCATCAGGCGTGTGTTTAGCATCAGGCGTGTGTTTGGCATCAGGCGTGTGTTTGGCATCAGGCGTGTGTTTAGCATCAGGCGTGTGTTTGGCATCAGGCGTGTGTTTAGCATCAGGCGTGTGTTTGGCATCAGGCGTGTGTTTGGCATCAGGCGTGTGTTTAGCATCAGGCGTGTGTTTGGCATCAGGCTTGTGTTTGGCATCAGGCGTGTGTTTGGCATCAGGCGTGTGTTTGGCATCAGGCGTGTGTTTGGCATCAGGCGTGTGTTTGGCATCAGGCGTGTGTTTGGCATCAGGCGTGTGTTTGGCATCAGGCGTGTGTTTGGCATCAGGCGTGTGTTTGGCATCAGGCGTGTGTTTGGCATCTGGCGTGTGTTTAGCATCAGGCGTGTGTTTGGCATCAGGCGTGTGTTTAGCATCAGGCGTGTGTTTGGCATCAGGCGTGTGTTTGGCATCAGGCGTGTGTTTAGCATCAGGCGTGTGTTTGGCATCAGGCGTGTGTTTGGCATCAGGCGTGTGTTTGGCATCAGGCGTGTGTTTGGCATCAGGCGTGTGTTTGGCATCAGGCGTGTGTTTGGCATCAGGCGTGTGTTTGGCATCAGGCGTGTGTTTGGCATCAGGCGTGTGTTTAGCATCAGGCGTGTGTTTGGCATCAGGCGTGTGTTTGGCATCAGGCGTGTGTTTGGCATCAGGCGTGTGTTTAGCAGCAGGCGTGTGTTTTGGCATCAGGCGTGTGTTTGGCATCAGGCGTGTGTTTGGCATCAGGCGTGTGTTTGGCATCAGGCGTGTGTTTAGCATCAGGCGTGTGTTTGGCATCAGGCGTGTGTTTGGCATCAGGCGTGTGTTTAGCATCAGGCGTGTGTTTGGCATCAGGCGTGTGTTTGGCATCAGGCGTGTGTTTGGCATCAGGCGTGTGTTTGGCATCAGGCGTGTGTTTGGCATCAGGCGTGTGTTTGGCATCAGGCGTGTGTTTAGCATCTGGCCTGTGTTTGGCATCAGGCGTGTGTTTGGCATCAGGCGTGTGTTTGGCATCAGGCGTGTGTTTAGCATCAGGCGTGTGTTTGGCATCAGGCGTGTGTTTAGCATCAGGCGTGTGTTTGGCATCAGGCGTGTGTTTGGCATCAGGCGTGTGTTTGGCATCAGGCGTGTGTTTGGCATCAGGCGTGTGTTTGGCATCAGGCGTGTGTTTGGCATCAGGCGTGTGTTTGGCATCAGGCGTGTGTTTAGCATCAGGCGTGTGTTTAGCATCAGGCGTGGGTTTTGGCATCAGGCGTGTGTTTGGCATCAGGCGTGTGTTTAGCATCAGGCGTGTGTTTGGCATCAGGCGTGTGTTTGGCATCAGGCGTGTGTTTGGCATCAGGCGTGTGTTTGGCATCAGGCGTGTGTTTGGCATCAGGCGTGTGTTTGGCATCAGGCGTGTGTTTAGCATCAGGCGTGTGATTAGCATCAGGCGTGTGTTTGGCATCAGGCGTGTGTTTGGCATCAGGCGTGTGTTTGGCATCAGGCGTGTGTTTAGCATCAGGCGTGTGTTTGGCATCAGGCGTGTGTTTGGCATCAGGCGTGTGTTTGGCATCAGGCGTGTGTTTAGCATCAGGCGTGTGTTTGGCATCAGGCGTGTGGTTTGGCATCAGGCGTGTGTTTGGCATCAGGCGTGTGTTTGGCATCAGGCGTGTGTTTAGCATCAGGCGTGTGTTTGGCATCAGGCGTGTGTTTAGCATCAGGCGTGTGTTTGGCATCAGGCGTGTGTTTAGCATCAGGCGTGTGTTTGGCATCAGGTGATATTTCAAAGTGGATGTGCCATGGTTCACATTGACAACACAGATAACTTTGGTCTTGTCAGTCGATCCATCTGGCGACTTTTTGAAACCCAACTTCCCATTCAGAAGCTTTTTAACATCCATTTCGACATTTTGCACTTGACAAACCAGTCTCTTTCACAGCGAGCAGGTAACAGGCAAACAGGTAAAACACAAACCAAACACTAGCCGACGGGAGAGGGTTTCCAGCTTCTGTAGTTTTCCACTGACAGTGGCAACAGCAACAGTGGCTCAGTTGGTAGAACATTGGCCTTTGAGCCTGAAGGTCGGGGTTCCACTTATATCCATATCATTCATACCTTATATTTAGTATATATATACTAAATATAATGCACATGTATATGGGATAAAACCTCTTCTGCTGGTTTCAGTCTGTGGAAGGGTCTGAACATCAGTATGGTTATTATTTTGTGATTAGTTTGACTTGTTCCAGCTCGACAAGCTCATTATAATATTTCTTCTCCTCATCTCAGCGGAGACGGATGAGAGGCCGTGTGAAGGTGCCAGGAGCCGGTTTCTCTCAGGAGCCTCTCTGAGTGGCCTCTCTCAGTGGACTCTCTCAGGGGCCACTCTCAGTGAACTCTCTCAGTGGACTCTCTCAGTGGACTCTCTCAGTGGACTCTCTCAGTGGACTCTCTCAGTGGACTCTCTCAGGAGCCTATCTCAGTGGACTCTCTCAGTGGACTCTCTCAGGAGCCTCTCTCAGTGGACTCTCTCAGTGGACTCTCTCAGTGGACTCTCTCAGTGGACTCTCTCAGTGGACTCTCTCAGTGGACTCTCTCAGTGGACTCTCTCAGTGGACTCTCTCAGTGGACTCTCTCAGGGGCCACTTTCAGTGGTCTTTCTAAGGGGCCTCTAACTGGGGCTTTCCCTGCAGAGCTGTCCTCTTATCGGCTGTTTGTGGCCCCGCTGAACATGTCTCGAGAGTCAAGGTTAAAAAACATACACAGCAGAGGACAGGTAATTATCCGTGTACAGTGGCGACGCTGGAGAGGTGATGTCACACAGAGCTAGAGTGTGGGGAAAAAAATATTACTGGTAAATATTAACATTTATCAATATAACAGACACAATACCGATCTTTTAGTTTTAATTAAAAACTAAATCTTATATATATAAATGTTTTTATACATTTACATGGTACAACATTAACATTGTATAATGTCGTTCAGTCACAGACCTGGTGTTGTTTTTAGATCCATCCACGCTATGTGTCTTCTGGCACAAACAAGTAGCTCAGCCCCTTCTGTGTAAAACCTGTCTCAGTCCTGTATGATGTCATTGTACTATGGCATCATACTCAGTTTTCAGACAAAAAGTAGATACTTTAGGTAACCTTTGATTATATGGCGCTGTATAAAAAGCTAAATTGCTGCAAACACAAAAATCCACAAAAAACCAAAAGGCCATGAAAGCGAAACCATGTCAAAGCGAAAGACCACTGTATATATTTATTTATCTGTGTTTGCGGAAGTACAACTCCAATATGTTTTTCATAACAATCTGCCATGCAGCGTCAGTAGTATTAGAGCAAAACTAGTGGCTAATTTTGAAAAACAATGGCAAATTGGAATTTTGGCAAAACCTAAACTAAGAACATATATTCAGTTAAAAGAACGTTTCAAAACAGAGTTTTACGTCACAGCAAATTTGGCCAGGAATCAGAGATCTTTGATAGCTCAGTTACGAACAGGAATTCTTCCACTAGCTTTAGAAACAGGGAGGTTTTCACAGACTCCTGAGGAGAAAAGACTATGTGTATTTTGTGAACTTAATGAAGTGGAAAGTGAAGTGCATTTTTTGTTATATTGTCCTTTTTATGATGAATTTAGAAACGCGTTGTTTCATGAAGCGTTTTCCCGGGATCCTGATTTGTTTTGGGGCAGTGATGATGATAAGATGAAATTCTTATTTGAAAATCAAGTATTTAAATTGTCTTCATTTGTAAGTAAAGCCTGGAAGAAGCGGCAGACTCATCTATTTAAATGAGAGCTTTGGTGTTTGATCTTGTTCCTTTTTTATTCTATTTTTTATTTTATTTTGTTTATGATTGTGCTTCTGTGCCTGATGTTGGCCTGTGTCTCTGTATTTGTAAATGGTGTCTTATAAGCCCATGTGGGCTGGGCATCTTTGTGTGCAAGACACTATAATAAAAGATTATCTATCTATCTATTTATATATTTATTCAAGGAGCCCTTCTGGTCTGAAACACCACTCAGCTTCATATTCTGTGAGTGTGTGCAGAGCCTGAGCCGGGGTGACGATAATGGGACAGCAGGATTAATTGAAAACATGAGAAAATGTCGTTGGCTGAGTTGGAGCCCGAGGGGACGGCTGTGTGCTCCGAGCAAACACGTCTCTTTCTCCTTTTTCAGCCGGCGCTCTCGGACTGACAAACATATAAAGACACACTTATCAGCTTTCTATTGAAATCTTTTAAATTCAGACTCCGGCAATTGTATTTTTAGGAATAATTTTGACTTTCACAGAACTTTGAAACTTGAGGAGAATCCACTTAATGCGATATTGTAATGAGAAGCACATGGGACAACAATCTTTTGCGATGTTATTGAGTTGGCGCAGAAGAGAGACACTCCCTTTGTCTGGAGCTGCTTTGCATGAAATCAATGACAGCTGGAGTTTCTCTTGAGAAAGTTCCCCTCACTGTGTGTTCAGTTTATTTGAGTATCGTCCAAAATCACAACAGCAGCCGTCTTGGAGAATTTACCAAAGTTGTGGATTAGCCAAAAACTGATCAGAGAAACAAACAGTTCAAACACAGGAAATGCAATAATAACAAACACATTGAAGCCATTGGTCCGTTGGGAGCGGGATGACCACTGTCCAGAAAGGTTAATTGGATCCTCACTGTCCTTAGACCCTCCCTCATCGAAAAGGAACCACTCAGAAACCCAGTGGGAAAAAAGGGAGATACCTCAGGGAGCCCCATATTGAGGGATCCACTCCCACGAATGCACAGGCTGTAGCTGCAGGACTGAGGCTGTAGATCCAGGACTGAGGCTGTAGATCCAGGACTGAGGCTGTAGATCCAGGACTGAGGCTGTAGATCCAGGACTGAGGTTGTAGATCCAGGAGTGAGGCTGTAGATCCAGGACTGAGGCTGTAGACCCAGGACTGAGGCTGTAGATCCAGGACTGAGGCTGTAGCTCCAGGACTGAGGCTGTAGATCCAGGACTGAGGCTGTAGATCCAGGACTGAGGCTGTAGCTCCAGGACTGAGGCTGTAGATCCAGGACTGAGGCTGTAGCTCCAGGACTGAGGCTGTAGATCCAGGACTGAGGCTGTAGATCCAGGACTGAGGCTGTAGATCCAGGACTGAGGCTGTAGATCCAGGACTGAGGCTGTAGATCCAGGACTGAGGCTGTAGCTCCAGGACTGAGGCTGTAGATCCAGGACTGAGGCTGTTGCTCCAGGACTGAGGCTGTAGATCCAGGACTGAGGCTGTAGCTCCAGGACTGAGGCAGTAGATCCAGGGCTGAAGAGGTTCACAGGTGCAGATAATGTCGTTTTGAATTCCAGCAACAAAACATTTTGGCGAACACTGGTCTATGGGGTAATCTCCTTACAGCCCGAGTGGTCTTAGGCTGCAGTACCGAGGCTGGCCTCTAGTCCGTGTGAAGGATGTTATGATATGCGGAGATTATAACATAGACTTACTAAATGCAAATAACCATAAACATACAGAAGAATTCATTGACACAATGTTCAGTATGAACCTGTTTCCGTTGATCACTAGACCAACAAGAATAACAACACACAGTGCTACCCTGATCGACAACATCTTTTCCAACGTTCTAGACGACAAATTAATGAGTGGCTTATTATTGAGCGACACTAGTGACCATCTCCCCATCTTTATGGTGTGTAACTTAAACCTCAACATGATACAGCAAAGAAATGAATTTAGATTTGGCCGGCTAATAACCGAGCAGTCAATTATAAACTTTAGAAATGATTTGTCTGCTCAAAGCTGGGAAAAGGTATTCGAACAGTCTGATCTAGACACAGCTTACAATGCCTTTCTAGAAATAATCACTGCCTTGTATGACAATAATTGTCCAGTAAAAAAGTACAAACAAAAACAGGAAACCGGAAAACCATGGATAACGAAAGGACTATTGAATGCCTGCAAAAAGAAAAATCATTTGTATGAAGTATTTATTGTGAACAGAACTGTTGAGGCAGAAGTAAGATACAAAAGATATAAAAATAAACTAACCAGCATCATGAGGAGAAGTGAAAAAGATTATTACACAAAACAACTTGAGAGTAATAGAAACAATACTCGAGGAATGTGGAAAGTCCTAAATAGTGTCATTAGGAGCAGCCCAGATAGTAGCTATTATCCTGAATATTTTGTGGACAATAACACGGTCATTACGGATAAAAGGGAAATTGTGGATAAACTTAATACATTTTTTGTAGAGGTTGGTCCCACTTTGGCCCAAAAAATTCCGACTTGCAGCGAGCCCCTGGACATTTCAACTGAAAAGAACCCAGATTCAATGTTTCTCACTCCTGTCAATGAAATGGAGGTCCTGGATACAATCACAAAATGCAGTAATAAAACATCTATGGATGTGCATGACATAAACATGAGAACAGTTCGGAGTGTGGCAAATGAAATTTTACAACCATTTACCTTCATTTGTAACCTGTCATTTCAATGTGGACAATTCCCAACCAAAATGAAAGTAGCTAAAGTCATCCCACTATTCAAAGATGGGGATAAACATTGTTTTACCAACTACAGGCCTGTCTCCCTGTTGCCACAGTTCTCCAAGATCTTGGAAAAATTATTTAATTCAAGACTGCAACATTTTATTG